TAACTTGAATGAAAGGTGAATTCTCATGCTACCAAAATGACTTCCTCTGCTATGCAATATGAGCTTCCCAATTCAGTCAGGCTGAATGTTGAAAGTTATTTTAAAAGTTCTGAAAGTTCTTTAAGTTCTGAAAGCACAAAATGAAAAAAAAAATGAACAGGAATGATTTGATCCTTTGAAAAATTGTGTTGCTTTTTCCATGATAAAATAAATTTCAGTTTTTAATTAAAGCAAGCTATAAACTGTTATAATGTGTTATAATATGAAGTTCCACTGGAAAAAAAAGTTTATGAAAGGTTTATGGTATGCATTAAACTTTTGCCATAGCCCGTATCACAATTAAAAAAAATATATACAAAACGTATATACATTTTTTTAAATGCTACTTAATTACTTTTGCAGCTACATTCACTATAAATTAATTAGCCATAGCCTGAAAGGAAGACAGAAGTAGAACTTGGCACAAAACCGTCAGTGCCACAGGCAAAAATGTTCAAGCTATAAATGAGTCAAACCATGTTCAAACACTTGTCTTCTTGATTTTGAGAATGTGAGAACAACATGAGAGGGGTAGCCATTCTTTAATATGTCTTGTTTAGTTCTTAGTATGTTTCTTGAAGGATCACCTTTGACAATTTTAGGATTTTTTTTCTAAGCAGCCACAAGTCTGAGTAAGTGCCTCATGGGTTTTTTCAAAGATGTTGAAGATGTCCAGATTTTTTAATTTACGAAACAAATCTCAGTACTGTCCACTTTGTTCCAGGCTAAATAAGTTATTTTTGTGTCTGTGTTTAAGGCTTTGTTTTTACTTAGCTTTATTCTTGTTGCTGTGTTTTTAAACTATGCCCGGTACACCCATACTACAACCTAGAGAGTCATGTTTAAGGTGATTTCCTGCATAATCAAAAGTTTTCTCGGTTCTACAGTTCCCTAATGGTGCTACTAGAACCTGACAACATTTCAATAATAGTTTTATTTATTTTTATTGTACATTTACTTAAAGATATATAACCACTCCTCTGGCATTTACTTATCAGCTGATTTGTTAGGAATCTTAAATGAAAATATAAAACTGTATGGATTTAAAGGAATTTTAACCACTTAAAGACAAATATCATAAAAAACATAAAAGAAAAATAGCATCAACACTATTTTTATTTATCTAATATTTTTATTTATCTAGTAGTGTAGTTATGTAATTTTCTGAAAGATTTTAATAATACTTGAATGTAGTTTTTAAAGCAATGACTTTTTATTGTTAAACAATTACCTCCTACCTTCTGTAATACATTGATTTCTGCTTAATTTTACAGATCTTTCTCTAATTATTTTAATTACTTTGCTTTCTTGGACTTGGACTTGGACAAAGGTGCCATTTGTCATTGAATCACTTTTCTGTGTTCTCTTGTTTTTCCAGATGTACGTTACAAGCACTATAAAAACTAAAAGCAGCAGGCTAGCCAAGCCAGTGCTCTGCCTTGGAACCCTCTGTACTGCATTCCTTACAGGGCTCAATAGAGTGTCTGAATATCGAAATCACTGCTCAGATGTTATTGCAGGATTTCTTTTAGGATGTTCTGTGGCTTTATTCTTGGTAAGGAACATATATCTTAACAATAATACATTCATTTATTTCATTTATTTTCTCTCACCATTTTTATTTATTTCTCTTTGCCAGAACCTTTTCATGTGTTTTTCATCAATAACAGTGGTATTTACATTTTATAATAATTATGTTTAATATTTAAACATTAAAATTACAGTATTTGGTCAAAGCCTAATTAACATGTAGACAAAGCCTAATTCGAACAGTGAGCTTGATTGGGGAAATGCACAAAGCTGAGAAGAACAACAACCTATCTGTAAGGATGGGACTGTTGGAACCCTCATATTTAATGATGAACAAGGCAGTGGATGCCAGGGTGAAAAGAAGGATATAAAAACTAAATGTGCAAGCGAGTAAGAAACGTAGGCAGAAGGAACTGGAAGAGATTAGGGTTTGACCTCCTACTGTTATAAACTGCATTTATGGAGTTATTTTCTAGAAGTTAGACTTGTGCAAAGGAATGATTTTGAGGGGAGTATGTGTTATTATGGTTAGCACTGCTGCTTCACAGCTCTTAGATCATGTTTGATTCTTGACTGGGAAGCCTTCATTTTTGAGATTGCATCTTTTTCCTGTTAGTATGGTTAATTGGTCCCTATTTATAAATTGCTCCTATTTATTTAGCCTGCAATGGAATGACATCACATCTAGGGTGTAGTCTTACCTTTGCACTCCAAGCTTCTGGTATAGGCCACTGCTTGCGATGACCCTTAACAGGAATAAGCAGCTTTCTGATAATGGAAAGATGATGATGAAGAAGAATCATCTCATTTTTGAAAGCAATTAGTATAAATCAGAGGCCTGTATCTCCTTTTTCAGTTTGTATGTTTTGTATTACAAAAGAAAAATTTCTGACAGTAGGAACAGAAAGATGTTCAGGAAGATTTACTTGCGTGAAAACATCTTTTTCATCATTGCACACATTTAGATTGCTATCACATATAGTTGCTCTGCTCATTTGATCTTTGATGTATCTTGATATACCGTAGCAATGCAACTCAGGCTGCTGATGTGCCATCATTATCCATCTTTGTTTCCTGTAATACTTGTGTTCTCTCAGAATCTCCAGGATTATCTGAGTGATTGAGTAATAAAAAACAATGTTTTTTTTCTAGGAGATCGTTTATTTTCTCTGTTTTTAATAGTATTGTAACGCTTATAGCCATCAGTGGTATGTAAGAGCCAGCTTACCAGAGTGGTGACGTCACCGCCCTTCCCTGAAATAGCAGGACTACAGCTAGTGGGCTATAGAGAGATCTCTCTTTAGCTCAACAAGCTGGGTCCCTGTTGAGTCCCGGGTTCGAGCCCCCGACGGTCCGACCTAATGCGGCAAGGGCGCCCACCTGAACCCCGTTGCGTTACAGTATCATATGACTAATTTTTTTTTAAAATCGGGATAGTACCTTGAATGTGTGCTATATGTTGAAAGTAAAGATTAGGATGATTCCTTGCAGGGGATCTGTGTTGTCCACAACTTCAAAGGAGTACATGCAACACCTAGAAAGCAGAAAACAGAGGATTACCGTGGCCTCCCTCTAATGACATTTCCTCGGGTTGAGAGTCCCCTGGAAACACTGAGTGCCCAGGTATGAAAATGGTATATTTTCACCCATTCTTAGCGTGCTCAACTATAGACTTCTTAGCAGTAGAATGTGTACTGTATGTGTCAAAAATGCTTAAATTTTCTACCTTTTTTTATAGAATCACTCAGCATCTATGACAGAGGTCACATGACTGAGAGGGGAGCATAAGGTTACTTTTTCTTCACCTCAACACTTCTAGGCACACAAATGTTTTGTACTGTGTCAAAATGTAAAAGAACAGTATTATGTTGTTCCTAGTTAGAAGCAGATGTTTTTTGTACATTTTGTATAAGAGAGTGCTGTAGCTTACCCTGATTTTGTCTGCTTTGAACAATTATGTCAGGTTTATGCATTCCTTGTCATGTTTTACATTATAAAGTAAATATATAAGTTTATTGAAATATTGATGTTGTTATGTGGTATTTGTACAAGAAAATCCTTTTTTCTGTTTTCTGTAAATCTTTGGCAAAAGTCACCTTTTGTATCCTTTTGTTATCTCTGTATAAAATTGATTTTTTTGGCTACATTTGCCTGCAAGATTTGCAGGAATGTTTTTGGTATTCATATATTTTGTTTAAGAGAACAAAAATACTTTGTGACACATTATTGTTCTTTGTTTTTCTTCTTGATTTTTTAAACTTCAGCATGGAAGTAAAAACTGTTTGAATAGCAGAATAACATATTTGTATATTGTTTTCTTAAAAGTTAGAATTTCCTCTGAAATGCTGTATATTTTTTCCTAATTTTTATTTGTCCACAAAAATAAATGCAATCTGTAGCTCAGTCTCAAATTGTGTGGATTTTTTGCAGGACCTCACAAATTGAAACGAGAGTAATGAGCTTACCATTAAATTAGATAGTAACTTGCATTAATGGGAACTTTAACTTATGCAATTTATATAATTTGCGCCAATCCCTATTAATAAAGGCTGAATAGGCACTTAATTGTAAAGCGTTACTGTATTAACTGTGGCTGCTGACTCATGGCCATGGCAGTTTTCCCTCCTTCCTTCTCTCTCTTCCTATTATCACCTTCTCCATTTTACTCCTTTCCCCCTTCTCTCTCCATTTATGGTTGAACTTCCAACCCACTGCACCCATGACCCCAGCCTATACAGTATGTTGTTTTTTCTCTCCCTATTCCAAGTCCTTTTTGCTTTCCAACACTGGAGCTCCCTGTCACTGGCTCTCACGGGTGAGAGTGCACTGTATCTGTATGCATCAGATCCGGGCTTTCTTGCTCAGTCCACGTTATCTCTAGCACTTGGATCTAGGCAGCTACAGTGCTAGGTTTCCTCCTCCAGGGAGCCTTCCTTTTTGGCTGGCGTCCAGCTGATCGATAGCTGTCTCCAACTCTTCACCCTGCCAAAGCTGTAGCCATACGCGTAGCTGATATTCATTCCCTGTTTCAAGGATCCATCTTGAAATTCATGCTTGTTGTCTAGCTAAATTCAGCAAGCGGCAGCTCTCTTCCACGTTCTGCATCAGGCTGCTCTTCCAGAACACAGCAGCTTTTTTCTGGTAATTAGCACCTTCTGCTGCCCTCCACAGGGTTCCAATTTCAGCCTAACCTGCACAGCTTCCTAGTAATCAGTAGGTATTTTCCTGCCTCTGCATCAAACATCTATACAGGTTGCCCAGTGTCTTCTGCTGCCCACTATAGAGTTCCAATCCACATTAGCAGTCCTGCTGCTTCTAGCTTCTAGCTTCTAGCTTCTGTCACCTTGTGTTTTGTCATCAGCTTGTGCTTCTCACACACTGCATCCAACTGTACTAGCTCAAACAAGCACAATTTGTTGTCCATTATCTGTAATATACCCAGGTGCCAAGAGGGGGAGGCAACCATTGGCAAGGATCCTCAGAGATGTATTTTTTTCCACTGGGAGTTTTTGTTTTGCTCTCCACAAGGCCCCCGTGTTCTTCTTCTGCTACACTGTTAAATGCTCCATACTGTACTTCTGTAATGGATTATGTCGCATATCAGAGCAGGGAGGAGACCACATGTCCCAGAACCTGATTCCCAGCACTCACCTGTTCCACACCAGTTGTCCAGAACTGCCTGCGTCATTCATGTTTTGAATCCGTTACAAACACTATCAGCTCAGTTCCTGCAAAACTGCAGCTAAACCAACTTCAAAATCTGCATTGGGGATTAGATTGGGGGAATTTGACAGCACTGATTTCTGATCAGCCCAGTCATTCCCTCAGCCAGGCTAATTAATACCAAATTACTGAGAACACATCTTATATTCATCACCTAGTCATTATTAGAATTTGACCAAATAACTCAATAGCTAGCAATACTTATTTTTATGGAAATACTTCTAAAAATTAAGCTCAAACTAATCATGTGACTATAACATTAACTTTTTGAACAAAAATATAACACTGAAGGTTCTACATTTAGGTACTTAAATCATGATTTTTTTACAACAATGGTATCACTGCTAGCCAGATCTTACCAAATCTCAGATATTGAGAAAAGATGGGGCTGGTCAGTACTGGAATGGGAGATCTCCAAGAATAACCAGGTTGCTGTACCTGTAAGTGATGTTTGTGTAGCAGTAGGTGGTACTCTTACTTACTCTTACTCTGGAATCTGGACTTGATTCCATTGCTCAAGGAGATACCATCTTTCGATAGACACGTTGAAACTTCATCATTTAAAGATCCCATGGCAGTGTTCATAAGGGTAGAGGTGTTAACCATCCTTTCCTGACTAAATTAATATTTTGTTCTCTAAACTGAACATTATAATTAAATATAATGTCATGTCATATTATGTACAGTATGTCCATGTAAAAAGTGTGTTCACAAGGAGGTGATTGTTGCCATGGTTTCTCCTCCAGAAAAAAAAAAAACCTCGAAGGTGAGGGTGAAAGTTGGATTACAACAAGAACCTGTCTGTCCAGATTATTCATGGTTGCCATGAGTCTATTAAATTGAAGCTATGTTCAATTTAAATATATTGCATTATAACCCCATGCTATGATTTGTCAGACAAGATATGATTTGTTATGGCTCCTCTTGAGACTATCCAGTTTTGCAGATGTACTGTATACCTCACTGCTTTAGAATCATAAGTATATTGACTCCAGGCATTCTATCACAAAATGCGATCACTAGTTTAGTCTAGTTTTGTGAGTTTCTGAAGCTTTTAGTCCCCTCAAAGCAGAAAAAGCACAGTACAGTAACTGTGAAAAATCCAATACCTTAAATCACCATTTTGTGACATTTTAGAAGTTATAAAATAAAACCTTAACAATATTTCTTAATTCATTTACTCAAGAACTTAAAATTGATATATTCGATCTCTTCAAGTTACAGATAATGGATAATACGAATTGATTAGAATTACGGAAACTATTACAGGATTGCTCTGGGCTTACACTCTTTATATACTGTACAAATTATAGAATACAGAAGAAGTTTAATTTAAGTATTATACATGTTATTTGTTTTTTTTCTCTTTAAAAACATGTTTCATGACACTTAATAAATCCATGTGTATACAGTAGATCATAGATGTGAAATCATCATTTAAATTTTAGGAAGCTACAATATATGGTAAAGAAATAAATGTCCTACGCAAAAAACAATATTTTTATCAAATTGCCTGTGTTTTTATTTAATATGTACAATACATTAAAATTCCTACAGAGGTAGGTTTACACTATTACAACATTTTATCACAGGCTCCAAAGTGCTGCTTATTGGTGATATATATCCCCCCAATTAAATAGTTTTTAAACTATAAATGAGAACATTTGCTCTCCCTTATTGTAGTAAAGAAAGGAAGTTATAATACCAAGACTTGTAAAGAAAACGTTAGCTCTGAGAAAATGTTTTTCCCTGGTATACAGTGTCTTGACAGAGTAAAATGAGCATGAATGCTATATATATACAGTAACATAGAACACCTATTTGGGATGTTATGACATTATGACATGCTCATTATATTTTTCACATTTATCTTGAAGAGAAGACATGCTCCCAATATACTTTCCTTAATATTCACAAAGAATAAAAAATTCTACTAACAGGATTAGTAAAATTATACTGACATACTTTGTTCACTATCTGGAACTATGAATCTGCAAAAATAATGTTTTATTAAAATAAAGGAAAGATATTTAATGAGCAAGTTCTGTTTAATACAAATCATGGGTTGCTTGCTTCTTTTTTTCTGCCAGAGCACTAAAGCTAGACAAGCAATAGGGAATTGTTCTTCTTCAGGAGTAGCATCTGGCATGGGGCTTTTTTGAAAATTGTTTTTTCTTTTCATTTTGTTTGCTGTTACGAAGCTTTAATTTGGTATTTAGGCCAATCCCTAATTTAAGACAGAATAGAGGTGTATTTTGAATTATTTTGGTTTATTTACAGAACTCAGCTGGTGAGTGGAATAAAAAACCTGTCCACGAGGTCAAGGGTGACAGAACCCTCCATTTTATGAGGTATGGAATATGAAATGCACAAGCTAGTACTGTAATTTTAAAATATTAGATTGACACAGTTCATGCAGTAGGTTGCTGGTAGTGGGTGAGATTAGGGTTTGACCTCTTCCTTTGTTTAAAATTCCCTAAAAATCACATAACTATTGTGCTTCTTGTGAACAAATTTTAAAGAGGCCTTTTGTATCAAATTGATCTTATAGTTCTTCAGTCTTCTTGAATTAATAAATTTATATAATCCGCAGCATTTATGATGGATAAGGTAAGTCTGATTTTGCAAGATGTTTAAAGTCTGTAATTATTTAATGCAATTGTTCTTTAACAATCCAAGCTAATATAATTACATGGAACTTCATAGCACCAATGAAGTAGTGTTACCAAAGATAGCACTATATTGTAGTCATAGAAAAATAGTCATAGTCATTTCTCTCCCACTATAAAAATGGGGGGAATATTTGACTATCAATTATTACATAGGCATGAATACCAATGGAGAGATTTAAAGTTTAAAAAATTGATGAAAGCTATAACTCCTAGAAAGGAACTTCCCAAATAGTAGTTTAAACAAATCCTAATTAATGCTACACCGGGTTGAATCATGAAATTTGGTCTGACTTGCCTGGCTGAAGCAATGGTAGTCTACACACTATTGTGAGAAAGGAGCCATGATTCCCCACTCCCTTCATGAGGAATGAAGCAGGGAGTGGCTGCAAGGGTGAAGATGGGGTGAGGAGGAGGGATGCTAAAAAACAGTGCAAAGGGGGCGCTTGCTGGCAAAATATTTATGTATAGGTGAGCAGAAGTCAATCTTATTTCTAATAAAACAATTCCAGTACTTTTTTTTTCAAAAACACCATATTTAACCCAATGCTGTATATAAGACTTTGAGGAGGGGTTTGTGAATTGGTAATGTTGCCAATAAATTTGGTTAAGAATGAAAACCCATATAATTTAAACGTAATGTAAAGTTTCTTAGAAGAAACTCTCTGTGTGATAAGTGATGATCCAGTAGAGATCTTGCAAATGACCTTCCTGCAAGTACAGGTATTAACATTTCCTCAAAAACAGTGAAATATGTATTACCTTTTTAAAGGCTTGACACTGTTGAACCTCATCTGCCGAATTTTGTAATGACATCATTTATCCATCTTAGGAACATTCTTATGCTCTGATATATCTTGTCTATAACTGTAGTGAAAAAGCTGATTCATGCATTTGTGTTTTCAAGGATCGATTATTGTAATGCCCTTCTGGCAGGAGTCTCAATTTGCAGAATGTTCAAAATTTGGCAGCTAGAACGCTGACTAAGTTACGCACAATTGATCACATCACTTCTATCTTGGAGTCCATGTAGTGACTTCTTTTCATGTTTCAGTAGTTTGATCAAATCCTAATTAATGTGACAAGATGATGAGTATAAAGGGATAACATACGGAAGATTTGAAGTTTCTGGCACTAACTCGCCTGCTGAGGAAATGACAGCCCTGGATGTATTGTCAAGTCTGCCAAAATCCTCCTCACAAAAATTAGCTAGAGAGCATGCAGCGAGGGTGAAAATGGGGTAGGAGGGGTGCTAAAAAAGATGTGTACAAAAGGAGGCTCCGTAGGCTCCATAAAGTATATTTAAATAACTACGTCAGAAAGTAGAGGTGCAAGATCACAGTTTGACCCCTGAATATCTGTTTAACAACAACATTTTGAATTTATTTAAAAATTTACCTTAAAGGCTAAACGTGTATCTCAGTATTTAGCCAATATGTTATTTACTGCCTGTCGTGCAATCTGTGTTTATCTGAATGTGGTTAATGATTTGTCACCAATAGTCTTTGAGCGACAAGGCCATCTTAGGGTATCCCATAAGAAATCAGAAACTGGTACGAGCAACACAGAGTGCATTTAATTTTTTTAAAGCAAAAAAGGATGAGGATCTTTTTTAGCCTTGACACACTAAAAGATTTTCATAATTTGAACTAAGTAAATCTTTGCTCATTTATGTTCTCCAATTTATGTTCTCCAATCTGTCAAAAATGTTAACACATGCAATTAAGAAATCATTTTGAATAGCACAAGTGGATCAATGAAAAATAAAATGTAAGGGATGCTACAATCAATTTTTATGATTAAATAACAAAAACACCTTTCAATATATGTATATTTAGAATCAGCCATTAACACACTCATTTTGCCTAATGGAACTGAACCCTTCTCACCCTTTCATCATGTGATAAACCAAATAGAACACATGTGCATATTCTTATAAATCTTCAATGATATGCTATAGAGCAGGCTGACTCTTTGAACTCTGGAATTTAGAAATAGGCACACCTGAAATCGAAACAATGGAGTTAAATCTACAGCTGGAACCTAAGCAAATTTTCCACTGTGCGTAATTTAACAAATCCCATCCCTAAGGTGATGCTCTGACCCAGATTCTGGATTCTGACACCTACTGTATTTTGAGAGTGAGACATCACTGGTGTCACCAAGATGTACAACAGGAGTCATGCACACTGAACAGAGACTTTTACAAAGGAGTCAACTTCTCTTGCTGAGTCAGTCTTTATACTAATATTATTTACCCAAATAGCCTTGGCTGTTGCCACATGGTGATTCTGACAAAAAGATTATTGTAACTAGGACATAACACAGAATTTGGATTTAGAAGACCTATTAAGTGATATTAATTGCACTTGTAAATATTGTCATATATCAAATTTGTGAAAAATAGGACAAATTAATTTTTTCTCAGACTAGCTATCTATTTTCTCAGAATAGCAGTCTTCTGCATGGCTGTCTGCATGGTATGAAGCCTTGGATGATTATACATGTTTGTGTTCATCCCAGATCTGTACTTGTGTTTTGTGGTAGGCAATCAGACAATATGATTCTGGAAAACCAATCTGTCTTTTGATTAAAGAATATTTTCAGTACAGAATGTACTGATTTCGTAATCAAAGACTAATGCATTTAAAACATGGTATGAGTGCAGCTGGCCTTTTGTAAGGTACTATATACAGAATGTATATCCTGTTTGGAGTTGGGAGCCGAAAACTGGATGTAACATTCCAAATGTTTACACATTGCATGCTTTATATTATCCTAAAAAGTAACATGCAGTTCAGTCCAGTAATGGAAAAGGGAATGAGCAGTATGTAACATTTTTAAATTGTTTTATGCTGAATGAATATAGATGTGCACATTATCTATTGAACTGTTCTTTCATTACTGCCCTGTATGCCAAGGGAACACATATACATTTATGATGCTACACTCCTTAATGTCCTGCTGTATTGGCAGTAATTAATTTAAATCAAGAATGTATTTAAATCAAGTTAATACATTTAGGTTACAAAAAAGGTACAATATAATAAATATTTACTGTCTGTGTTGCGGAAAATCCAAAATAATTAAATGAAAAGGCAGAAGAAAAGTGTAACATAAGTTTCAGAGAAACACTGCTTTCTTCCTCCAAAAATATTTTTGCAGTGTTATAAATTATTGCGACTTCAAACAGGAATCAAATCCAGTAAAATAGTTACTGTTTTTGTATTTTTCAAGGTAAATGGATGGTGAAGTACCTGAGAATTACTGTAATATAAATGACAGACAGAGCAGTCATAGTGGTTGTCTAAGAAAAGGAAATTTCCAAAGGTGCAAGACTCAGCAGGTGAATTTTATAATTATTCTCCCATAGATGGGATGGACATCACTGTCAGTATATTTATAACATGCAGTTCAGTCCATTAATGGAAAAGCCTCTGAGCAGTGCAATTCATTATCATTTGAATAACATGATTTTTGATGACTGATTTCTTCTTTGTGAAGCATGTTTTGACATTCTTGAGTTAATAATTAGCAAAAATATATGGTGATGTTTACCCTATTTTAAAATGCAGTTAATATCAGAGAGATATGTCTCCTTTTTCTTTACCTCCTATAAACTGAAAAATAAATGTTGGATACCTGTAGTTCCAATGCAGTATACAGTACATCATATTAAATGACATAAGGATAGAAATCTCATGGGACAGTCATATTTGGGAGAGTTTTATACTGATTGAATAATATACATTACAAATAAAAGATTCAGCATTTTTGCATCAATATGTGACACTGGCATCTTCACTTTAACAACAGCGCATCACAACCTAACCATTTTAACAGTGGAAGGGAAACAGAAAGTGTTCATCTGATGCAATCATAATATCAGTTTTGAGGTTGCATTTCCCCAAAATTGGACCTATTTTATTAGTTCTGTTCATACCACATCTCCATCTATACATTATTATGCAGAGTGTCCTCCATCAATAGTCTCTCATGTCCTCCATGCATTGATGTATAAAGCACAAACTGAGTCCCACAGGTTCCCAATTTTAGCCAATTTCGCCTGTTACTTCAAAACAAAAAAATAAAGGAAAATAAAAACCAAATGGCATGTGTTGAGAAACATGTGGGCTTTCATTTATGCCTTGATTGTTAACCTTAGCCAGCAGGGTGCTTCACAATGGCCAAAACATGTTGTCTGGGCCTAGGTGTTTCTGAGAATCCTCATTAAAGTGCATTTCAAGATCATGTGCTACTCTATGACTCTGTAGTCTTATGTGTTCGCTGGTATTCCTCTAGTTCTTTTTTCCTTTTCATGGCAAGTTGCAACTCTTGTTTAATCAGCTGGATTTGCTTCTCCAGCTCTGTCAATTCCTGAATCACCGAGTTCCTTACAAGACTCAATGAATCTGTTTTGCCATTTGAGGCTGACATTGGGATCTCTCTCCTAACCTGTGGGAGAGAAATGTCTTTACACTGTGTGAACTCCAGGTCATTTTGCCTGTTTTCTCGAATGGGGAACTTTCTCCTGTTGCAGTTTGAGTTCCCAGAGGTGTTCCACACTGCTTGCTGATTATTTCCAACATTGCATCTTGTGGGAAAAAAGATAAGAGAAACATTAGTTGAGATATTATTATTAGTCAAGATATGAGTTTTGAATGTTGGGTTGGGATTTAACAAGAATGAAATGTACGTATACAATGGAGAATGCCTATTAAGGCTTAAAGGAGAATAAAAGAACAATAAGAAAAACAGACAGAATGGTACTTTTTTTTTTAAATTAACCAGCTGCATGATGCATAGTTTTCAATACATCTACAGTAATTATCTGCGTATAGGTGTTCTATCAACTTTGTGTTATTGATATAAATTTAGGGCTTTCTGGAATGATCTCCAACGAATGTAGATGGACTTCTGGCTTAATATCTGCATGACAAAGATCCCTTTGAAGTATGTACTCAAACAGGTATACAGAATTAATTTTGAGCTTGGTCCTACAAAGTCCAAAAGAATAAGAGTTGAAAAATTATGACTGATAGATAAGATAATGTTGTAATTTAGTTTAAGTAGCATTCCCATACTTTCAGCCTGCTTGTTGACTGACAAAATCAACTAAAATAACCTACGCAGGATAGGATGAAAAAGAAGTTGCTCAAAAACACATTGACACTTTAAAAATACTGTAGAAACTACAATGGTGTATTTTGTAATTTCCAAAAAATTGATTGTGATTACAACTATGCAGAAACTAAAAGTCTTTTGTTTTCTCTTTCCTTATCCAGTACAAGGTTGGAAAATAATTTTGATTATCTAAAATTATCTAAGAACCATGCGCCTCTGCATTAAATCACCCATAATCTGGGAGTTTGAGTCACACTGATGATTAATACAAAAGCCCTGAGAAGCTTATTCGGGTTCTGCCTGATGCATTCATTGTGAGTCATGTTTTAATGTTGTGCATAGGTGAAACACAATTTGTTTAATATTTCTTAATACTTTTACCACACATTGAGAACAAAACAACTAAAGTAGCTCAATGCATGTACAGTAAAGTGTACAGTATTTAAACATGATAAAACCCTACACATCCATTTATGGTTTATTCTAAAAACAGGACCTAATGAGCCTTCCATGAGCTCAGTATTTTTCGTCTGATAATAATATGCATATTATATCAACTTGTTTAGCTCTTTTTGTTTAAATATTATCCGTTGTCCAGAAACATAAATTCTGTGCTAAATGTAGCTGCTATCCAACTTAAAAGGTCAAATGCGCCTTAAAAGTAAATAAAATAAATGGCATGCCAAATGGTGACCTTATACAGTATGTTACACAAAAACTATCCAGTCTCAGTCCTTACATGCATATACTGTACATGTACATTTTTTGCTTTCTTTTAATCAATCTTGCAATCAATTGTTTGTTTTTGTATGACTTTAAATTGTCTCATGTCCATACCTTTTCTCCAGCTTAGTCACCATCTGGAATTTGTCTTCGCTGAAGGATGAGTTAAGCGCACGATGTAATCTCTGGCAATGAAAACCATGCAAATGGAAATCTTCACTTTATCTGAACTGGGTTTCTGAATTTGTCCTCTTAAGTGTTAAAAGTTAAGCATATTATGTAAAGTAATTATCCAATTCTGACCAGGATCTAGAGAATTGAAATGCACAAGTTGACAACCACTGCTGGTGTTCAATGGGTTTCTGTTGGCTAGGCTATCCTTGACTTTCATCATTGATCATCATTGATAACACAAACCAGGTGATTGTGAGCAAGCAGTATTAACAGTACATTACAGCACCACAAGGTCACAATTCACCATATGACATTATTGTAGTTTTTATGACTTACTGTAAATATTCTGCAAATCTCAGAAATTATCAAATTTATCAAATACACACATAGTAAGCCAAGATAATTGAGAATGACTTTTGGTTTTTCCACAATGTAAAGTATTTGGCCCCTTTCTATATACTGCATGTACAAATTACTGTTTCAGGATAAATGTGTTATATAAATGCAGGAGATTATTATTAGTATTAGTATGTTATTTTATGTTTTATTACTCAGATCTTTGGGGTAGTCTTTGGGGTAGTCTCAGCCACATTTGCACTCAGGCATGGTGCAATTTTTGCAATGTTATTTTGTCTCAGATTATTTTGTGCTCCTTGGTGTTCAAAGTTAAAACCTACAGTAGCTTGAAATTCACTATCTGGGGTTACAGAAGCAAGTGCATTTATTAAGATGTCATGTTATTACAAACACTCAACTAATTGTATAACCCATTAAGGTAATTTTGTTCATACTGTATAAATTAAAGTTTGCACAGCAAAGGGTTACAATACTTCTGTAATGTTAATGTTTTCTTTTATACAATATGAACAATCTATTTACACCTTTCTTTTTGTTTGTTTTTTTGCTTTGAGTGCACACTCAACAGTTTGTTGTATTAATAAAAATTACTTGCTTCTTCAAATCATTTTGAGTACAAGCCTAAAAGTAATAAAATGTGAAAGCTGTGCAAGGGTCTGAATAGTTTTGTAAGACTTTATATGTATCACCCTGAAATAAATATTTGGATTCAATTTTCAGTATACTCATTGTATACAACAGAATTCCAAAATATGAACACAAATGACAAAAAATAAATAAATCTAACAATTTCCCCCTATATAATTTACTATACCATGTATAGAATACATCCATATTATATTATAGTACATACCTGACTAGTGTGGAGCCAGTACTTCAACTTTGACGTTTTTTTAATTCTTGGAATCGCCAGTCGGTAGACTATGTGCTCAGCTAATGTTGTTAGAAGAGACAAAGCAACTCCAACACATAGCATGACAAATAAACCTGAGAAGTGCTTGATTCCCATCTGTAAAGTCTTGAGAAGACAGACATATACAACATTTTACACCTGCCATATACTGTATATCCCACATGCAAAGAAAACCTTCTATCAGCCACAGTAAAGAACAGAACTTTCATAAATAAAAAGAGCCTTTCTATGTAAACAATATGAAGTTAAGAACGTTCTCCAAGTCCAAAGTCCTAAAAGAATATAATAATAATAATAATATATGTCTACAAATGCTGTACCAAATGCTGTGTTACAAGAAAAAAAGGACACATAGAGAATAAAACATAAAGAATAGATTATGATATTGGTAAAGAAAGCTAATAATAGTTCCAAGAAATTGATAAACCTATTTACAGCGAGAGTGACCAATGTTGATCCTAGAGTAGTGTAGACTAGAGTAGTGTTGTTCTGGGTCTCTTTATGCTAGCAGCACCTGAAATTCTGGGAAAAGTTGTTAAATGTGCCCCGTTAAATATATCTGATTAAGCTTAAAAAGTGTTGAGTTAGAATGGAAATCTGCAGACACTCTGGCCATCCAGGCCTGTAATTAGATGTTTTTTACAGAAAGTGTGGTTCACCTGGCTACATAGCTGGCCTCTACATTATCCTTTTAAATAAAAAAAGTGTCATCAGTGTGCATACATTTGAGTGAATGAGTGAGTGAATGGAAACTTTAGTAATTTGTATTTATGCTTTGCATAAATGATGCTGAAGCTTTATTGTTAGTTTAGTGCAGGTTTCTCTAAGCCTATTTCTGAAAAACCTCAATCCAGCAGGTTTTTATATTGCAACCATTAAAGCACATCAATTTCTAAATACAATTTGGAACAAATTAATTGTGATCAATTGCAGGTGATTTTCTAAGTAAATTAGAAATCATTTGAAAATGTGTCCTTTAATTGAGTATATTGCTTTCTTAATTGATCATTAGCTTGCAAGTACTTCTAATCTTTAGAAACATGGACTTTAGAATGGTTTATAAAATACACTGAATTAGAAATTTCCAGGACTAAGGTTGGAAATTTTTAGCAGTGCAACAGTGATAAGGATAGCAAAATTTAACTTTTCTTACCTCTGTGACAGCAAAACTTCTTTTGCCACAAGGTACAACTTTGTACCATTTGTCATGTAGCATGTCCATAAAGCCATCTGATTTGTACTGACTGATCAATTCTGAAATATTTGAGGTGAGTGGCGAATTTTGCGGTAGGCCAATTCCATACCCTAAGGGTACAGTTGCTCAGTTAGTTGAAGGTAAAAAAAAAAAGTTTCAGTATGACAAATCCAGAAAAGCAGAGTACACAACTAAATACAGTATAATACTCCAATATTCTGTTTACCAGACAATCAATTTAAAAATGTACAGAATAACATTTCAGGAAAAGCATAGTTTTACATTAAACTATAACTACTAAATTTACTAATTCAACAAAAGTTATTGAGGACTGCTACTTTCTCTGACAGATTTATTTACACCATCTCCTCTATTTCACATATTATCAAATTCAGATAGAATCTCATCACACACATAAAAATAGGGTATAAAGAACGTAAAACTTTTGTTAAAACCTACTGTTTTTCTTAAGAAAATGCAAAGTTTGAGACTCCTTTTTAATGTTTCTTAATTTTCAAATAATTAACATTTTAATGGGATTTCAGCAGTTTACACAAAGTAATCTTAAACCCAAAAACAAAATATTTAACCCAGGGATCCGAGAATTTACCTTCAATGGCAAATGGTTTTCCAACTGTAAGAAGCTTGCAGTCCGCATCTATTGAAACTTCATAATCTAAGAGTGCTTTGTCCATAATAAAAGCATCAAGTTTTTGTGGATCGTTCCTTTAAAAAAATAATTCTTTAGCATAAAATTTCAAAGGAATACTGTGAAGGAAGATAAAATCAACAACATTTAACTTATAGAGCAATATGTTTATCATTTAGGCAGCATGGCAGTGCAGTGGTTAGAATTTCTGCCTCGCAGTGCTGGGGTCCTGGGTTGAATTTCTGAGGTGCTATTTGCATAGGGTTTGAATGTTATCTGCATGTACTTGAGGGTTTCTGCTGGGTGCTCTGGTTTCCTCCCATTGTCCGAAGATATGCTGGTAGGTTACAGGCTTCTGTAACTTTGGCCTTAGTGTAAACAAATGATTGTGTCTTTAACAGATTTGGGTCTTGTCCGGTGTGTATCCTGCCTTGCGCCCATTTGTGATAGCAAAGGACGAGTGAATGCTTATGCATTTATTGTTAAGCTTTAATTTTTTCTTCGCACTGTTTGATGACAGTTTACTTCTTCTACTCATAAAGGTGGTCCTTTATAGCATTCAAGTTAGATGTTAGAATACTCAATTTAAAAAAAAGGGATCTTTTGTAATTCAATAAAATGAGATATCAGTGGAAGGGGATGAATACTTTGCAAGGCATTACACACTCTCATTTCACATACAAGATAGCCCAGTGTGTGTACATGACCTGCTGAATGTTATCATGATAACCTGAGCCTCTTTTAACGGCAAGCAAATCCCTAGGACTTTAGTAAAGAAGCACCTTTCATTCAGGTTGCAGTAGATACCACTCCCCTAACCATCAGAATTGTTCCGTTATACACAAGAATTCACAGAGTATTCTGGATGTCTATACATCAAATTGGAAAAGAGTCTCCAAAATCATTATCTTCATAAGCGGGCCTATTGGTTCCTTTCTTTGTTTTACTTTCTTTGCTTTTATTGATCATATTGACATTCAACCAATATTAGACATATTTAGATTAAATATTCTAAATAAATCTATGATTGAATGTAGATTGGGTATGCAATTTTTCATTCATACTTTTTAAGGACAAACTACAATCAGTATTAGCCTTTCAAAATTCTTCTTTCAATAGAAAAATGTGAAAGGAATACTTTTTCATATTGATCATTACTACTCACTTTAAATGATCCACTCCATCAGGTGTTGCTGGTACATTGTATCTTCTCATGTATTCATGCATCTCTGGAAAGCTTTTTTTAACATAATCCTCAGCACTGCTTTCGCGAACAGTTCCAAAACGAAAGCCCTGGGAAGGATGGTGAAGCTTGAAAACAAATTAAAACCAAATATTTTAAATAGACTTTACACAGGTGGAGTATTTCATGTGTCTAAAAATAATATTTTGGATGTGTTTATGAGAATTCCATGTGAAATTAGAAGAATTTTTACATAGTTGGCACTTTCAAATGTGTGGTGATACACAAACACATTTGGAAGAAAAAGAAGAGCTTGAAATAAAGCTACTTGTTGAAATCAAGAACCTAAATGAGGGATATAGTACAGGTATATCTCATACTGTATGGATCTGAAGTACAAAAGGTGAAATATAAGCTGATTTCCAAACAGAAACATAATTTCAGTGTGGAAAATATTAATTTATTTTTTATCACTTCCTACATAAGGAAGGAATCATATAGTAGAAGATAATGAAGGACTGAAATATCACATTAACAACAGAGTAGATTTCTCAAGATTTCATCTCACTTCAGTTTATTTGTTACTGTACAGTACTGTACATGCACAAGTGCAATGAAATGCTTATACTGTATCTGTTATGCAGTGTAATAAATGTTCAATATTAATAAGGGTTTGTTTTAAACTCTTTGGCTCTTAGGATAAGGTTCTTGAACTCCATGCTGTTTAATATTTTTCCATGCATGGAATTACTAAAGTGAATATCTCCTGTGCTATCTTTTTTGTTTCCTCTTTCTGAACTTTTTTTTAGTAGCAGTCCCCTCTAAACTTTTCCAGTTTAGTTTTCATTGACTAGGTAGGGTATTTGCAGGACGTTTAGAATTTGAACATGATAACATGAGATAAGATCAAGACTGTCTGTTTTTTATGAATTTTGAAGATATGCAACATGATATAGCAATAATTCTATGTATGCATAAGAAAAAATATAAGAAATCTATTGGCATGGTTTTAATGTAATCAGAGGTGAATTATTGGCAATTTTATATTGATACAGAAAAGTCTTATAAATTTATGTGACAGTGTGCAAGTATTTTATGTATCTTCTGTGGTAAGTTCAATTACCGCCACTAATTGGGTGTTGTTTTCTTAATCACAGTAATTGCTGAGAGTTACAGATTAAAGATCCAGTGATGACTACCTAACAGTATTGTGTTTATTTCTGTCAGTGCTGGCTTCAGTTTTGCCACGACCTTTACAATGTTGGTGTACATTTTTGAAACAAGAATGAAGCTAAAATGCAATGAGATGAATACGATGTAATATAATTAATTTAGTGATCAGCTGATCCATTGCTTTGGGGAAAAAGGAAGATGAAAGGGTTACTTAAATGTAAAGGATGAAGACTGGAAAATATCAGTCATGTGGACATTTGAATAAGGGGCAAGCAATGGAGAAAAGTGGGGTTAGGTGGCAACAATCCATATAAAAAGAGTGCTGCATATATTAGAAATGGCAATTTCAGTTGAGGCACTACAAAGGAACAACAACTCATGGGGCTTGCAGGGCACCAGGGAATTTGTAAAAATGTAAAGGATTCATTCATTTGGTGCCTAATTTATAATATTTAGTAGAGCTCTCAGAATCTCAAGTGGGAAACTACTCTGACAATTTGTGGCATCAGTTGGCTGTGTTTAAATTTTCTATGTGTAGCACAGGTTTTGTAATAATAGTTTGATCTTAAGAGGAAATGGTTATTCCTAATTAAAAGGGTGTAAACAGACAATGCAGTAACTGTCAACTCAGTTTAATGTGCAGTATGCAACAGATGATAATCTGGAAAATATATTACTAATATGTTTTCTGGAAACACAGGTGATAATAAGTGTGATTGCACACAATATCATGCAGCTCCTCATAAACCAATCCTGAAAACAGAAAACAGAAAACAGAAAACAAAAAGGAGGAAACTTACATAGACCTTTTGGCAGTAAGCAATGTTCTGATGGCTTGCCTGCCCACTTTTCTCTGATTCCATAATCATTTACAGAATTTGAACTACTGTATAATTGCCATACATACAGCAAAGCTTTATGAAGAAGAGCATGGTGTGCAGAAAAAAATCCCTACAGAATACACAAGTGTGCAAGTACCTTTTCAAAAAACATTTTTGGACTTGCCAACACATAACTCATAAAATGTAGGAGCTGTGAGCATCTGTAGATATTGTGTAATGTGATGCAGTTCTTGGGGAAAACTAAAATGCATCACAAGAATAGAAAATTGGACTGGAAAGAAGAGGAAGCTTGGGAGCAGCCAATGGATGAAAGAGGAAGAGACCTCAGAGATTATGAAAAGAATAGCAGTGCAATTTGATGTCACAAAAAGAAACCCCAGCATTCGGGTTACATTGTTAAAAACTGCTGCTTCAGTGAAACAAAATGGTATTATTAAATTGTGGATCCCCAAAGTAAAGGGCTGGAGAACCAAGAACAATAGTAATTCAACTCATGGTAGTGGCTGGGGAAAATAGTCACTGATCATGCCCTCGCCCGTGAAAGTGAGAAGAAACTCCACAACAGTGAAGAAGTGAGTAATAGCAGGTAAACTCATTAGAGTTTACCTATATTTTAATGAGAATGTGCACATTATATATATGGGAACCCAATAAGCAGTAAGTGCCAAGAAATAAGTTAAATCAAACATGTCAGCAAAAGACTACTTCAATTTCCTTCTCTTGGTGAGTTCCTGCAGTTGTGCAAACATTGTATTTTAAGTAAATTTGTGTAGGTGTAGGTATTGCAAATCAGCCATAAAATACTTAAGTTATTTTTTCTCACCTTGGGATCATGTATTCCTGAGAGTTCTTCATATGTTTTCTCACCCACCATTACAGCAGCTAGATTAGCTGTGTATGTGGATAAACAAAACAAGCAAAATATCGCCCAGAGGTTCATTAGGAATCTACCCGTCCAACACTTTGGTGGCTTGATGGCAGCTGTCCTTCCAAACAAGATGGCATAACAGACATTAAGGGCCGATGAGAAGGAAAATACCTTCTTTCTGTTCCGGCCTTTAGGAGTCATGCCAAAGGGGCTCTTCCATTCATAAAGAGTGAGAAATATGGCAGTGACATGCAGGGATACAAATATCCCCAACCACATGCTCCAGTGCAAAGGCCACATAAAAGCCCCTATGGGTGCTGCTGTATCTCTTGTCCTCACCAGAATACCCAAGCTGGTGGAAAAGAAAGGGCTGGTAAAATCTATTATTTGGCTACGGGCAGAGTTGATGCTAAAAGAAGTGACAGCCATATTTGCAGCCCCACTTATCAGGTCCCCCACTAGTCCCGTCCAACGGCCATTCTTATATGCACCATATTTCCCATCACCAACAATGTAGAGGTCAAAATGAAAACCAACATCTTCTGCTAGCTTCTCAAGGAGATCAATACAGTAACCGTAGCAGCACTTTTTGAACTCAATGGGAACAGTGTCATTTGCACCCTGAAGGCTCTCAAAAAGGTTCTCCAGTACAGCTGTATCATTGGTGAGGGGATCCAGGCACAGTTGTCCTGCTGGGCACTTCCCATCTTCATCCACTTCCCGGGTAAACACGAAAGGGTGCTCCACGAGTGTAACCACCCTGAAGTGAAGACGGGAAGAGTGCCTCCACTCCCCTCCTCGTTGGAAATGCTTTCTATTTGGCCATATCCCATAGTCCATCACCACTTTCCCATCCTTCCAGCTCCCCAGTCGTGTCCACATTGGGTTTCCTATGGGATCATGCTGCAGGTTCCAAATGAAGTAGTGGCTCTCAGAGATAATCACTGAATCTTCCTGCAATTTGATGTAGCCACTTAGACCATCAAAAGTGGTGTTTGCCAAAAATCTGGAGGAGGAAAGTATAAAGTACACTTGAAATGAACATATACACAAAAATATACTTACATACTGTAATAAGTATTTTCTGTCTATACTGTATACTGTATGTACACAGTTAAAATGGTTACAGCAAAATAAACGTTATCGTAATGTGCATATACTGTGCTGTATATGAATTCAGGCTCAGGTGGCTTAAGAGTGAGTGCACTTGCTGTATTGTAAACCATCAAACCATTAAGGTAATGGTTGTTCCAGAAATACAATTATAAAAATATCATAAGACAGTTTCTTACCGTATGGGAAGTTGATATGATAAGTTATAAATTAAATTGATATTAAGATATGTGTTTTCCTAAATACACAATCTTAAATAATTCAACAGTGGTATTTATAAATTGTAATTTGCTCCTAGAATAAATTTAGGCTAAAATGTACTTGAAAAAGTAAACATTTCAGAATTTAATCTTTTGTCAAGTTTGAAAATCCTGTTTTTTGTTACATATCACTGTTGATGAAGAGATCTTACAGACATGACATTGTTTACAGAGATGCTTTGTATTCTTTCTGCTTAAAATCAGTGTTAAAGACTACTTGCTATTCACTGTATATTTTTAAAATTGCTATACGATAGACTGAGAAATATTACACATCTTTAAAAACATTTCATTGCAATTGTATTACTGTAATAACTACAGTATATTTTGCAGCAGTGCTAAAACAAATAGTCTTGACAGGATGCTGAATAATCTTTAAAAGTTATAACAGAATGGAATGTTAGGAGGTGTTTTCTAAATTGAGGGCTGTGTATTTTTGATACATCTTTTATGAGATGGTTGTTGATGCAATTTCATTAGCTAGGAATTACATGACAAATATTTATATATTGAATGGTAATACTGATATAATTTTAAACTTTTACACAATAATCTCCTTTAACAAAACAATCTACTTCTAAGTGATACACTGATAACATTGATAAAGCGCTTGAGACAACTATCTTTCTTTCAAGACTATTTGGTTTTCAGAGCATGACAATGCAAGTTCACACAGTTCTAGCATGAGTTCTAGAAAGAATTGTTGAATACTATAACCGGGATTTTATGCACAATAAAATGGCTGACAGATTCTTTTATATCATCAACAGGAGACAACTGAAATTAGCTCTCTGTCACCAATTGACTGCAACTGTGCAGGAAGGGTGGCTGAAAGCAGAGTCTGTCCAGAGGCTGATTTTTATGTCTGTGCACAAATGCTGCCAGGATTGTGCTAATGATCAGGGAAGTCATTAGAAATACTAATAAGAGATTTGCACTGCATGTCGAGATTTACATTCCAGTTCGGATGTAGAAAAAAGATTTCCATTTCTTCCTATATTTAAGAAATTAAAAAGAAACTAGTATTACAGTATGCATTTTGTTAAGTTGTAGTAAAGAGTAACATCATGTGTATGTTAGCAACTATGTTACAAGATAAGTAAAAAAAAATATTGCTTTATTAGAAAATGTTGCTTAATGTTTTCCAAAGCTATTTAGTAAACAATTTTATAAACAATGCAGGAAAACCCAACTAATTCAGCATATAAAAACTAAAATGTATTTCGCAGAAATCAATGCATTTAAACCTTATCAACATCTGTAGTGCTGAAGTAGAATCCTTTTGCTTTCTGGCATTATTGGGGGTTGTCGTTATGTTATGATATAAATGTAAAAGGGAAATAAATCTATACCATCTTATACTTTTTTACTGTGCATCCCTTTGTTTTCACAAAAATGCAGTGATCTCCATTAGAGAGTTTTGCAAAATTATTTATGCCCTTCCAGTGACATCCCATTTTGTTGAACTACAACTGATGTAATTCCAAATTTGTGAATAAAAATTTAAGTGAATATTTTAATCACTTGGATGCTGAAATTGAACAGTTTTATGGATGAAGAAGTTAAAGGTCAGCAAAAACCACTAAAGCAAAAGCTTTCTTAAAAACTCAAGTTTTGACTAAAAATATTCACTGTAACAATGTATATAGTACTGTACATAATCTATATTTCAACAATCTTTGCAAGTTAGTGTAGCATGCCTTTCCATGAGCTTTCCTCCTTCTCTCTTACAAAAAAAAACTGGAGGCTGCAATCACTGATGAACTTGTAAAAAGTACGCCACCTTGTAAATCTTTTTGGTTACTGTTGTGTGTAACATGTTGCCAAGAACACTCTTTTCAGCTGAAGCCTGCTCAAGAATACAAGCAGTCCTCTGTCAATTGGATTCTGTTTCTAGGTGAATTCTGGATATACCAGGATAAAGACAAAACCCAGGTTTAAAACAGTAATGCTTGGTTCATACTGTAGATTGCAACTTTCATTCTGAACTGGGATCTTAACTGTTCAGCCAGCATATATTTAAAATCTCACTAAGAAATATGTGAGATACATTGCTTATTGATACTTATTTAAGTAATGCTCTTTGTGCTTTGTCCCCATACATCATGTGGACATACGTCACAGTCACAGGGTTAACAGTCTTTAAGTCATGCATATTATATATTTACACATTTCTCTGAAAAAATCCAGTAAATGATACAGAGCTGGAAATCTAATCCCGCTAAAATAAGATTTGAGCTGTCAAGAGCTGTTTTGTGGCAACTGGCATGGAGAAAGCACATTCTAAATCAAAGTCAGGCTAATATCCCTGGAAATTATTCTAATCCCTTTACATCGATACATACTGAGTTTCTTGAAAACTTTGATCTTTCTTTTGCTGATAACACATTTTTTCATGTTTATGTTCTACCAAAATGTATTGATTTCTCAAAATTGCACACAGAAAATATCTTCAACTACATGCTCTACTAACTACAGTATCTGGTGTCTATCAGCTCTAGAATTTATACAGCTTTCAAGTAATGCTTCCTAAGATGTCAAATCATTTCACTAGGACTGTCTTTGTAGTCACTTAGATGGTAACTATTCAGTGAAATTTGATAAAGATACATAAAGCTGTGATTCTCCAAATAATATTATTAAATACCAATTTAATAGGATTTTGCAATAAATCTCCCAGTATTTTTTGTACACTTTATACAAGTATATTATATTGTTTATCACATTATATTGTTTATGGTATTTCAATGTCTAGGGGTAATATGTAGAAGAGTATGCAAATATAAAACCTGCTAATTCTGCTATAGTCTGAAACCAGCCAAATATTGCAAAATGTTAATTATTGAGGTACTTTCTAGAGATGTTACAGTATTCTGTAATTGATTATTCAGTTCCTGATTGGGATGTTTAAACATGCTGTAATCTTGTACATAATTCTATTCCAGAACCTCCACATTCTACAAGATCTTACTAAACATTCTTACAAGTTCCCGTGGTGGGGAATATGATAAATTCACAGTTTGGCATTACTATAAAAAAAAAGCAAACTGTTTACAGGAATTCTACTAAGATCTTTTGCCTGAAAACAAACATATGCAGTGTACACTATAAATAACCACTAATATGCATCATATGCCTCGATAGTTTCTTATATTTAAAGGTCAGATATATTTAAAAAAACATTTGTACCCACGTTAAAAATATTTGTATTGTCTGGCTTCATCATCCGCACCTCAGTCCATTCATACTTTATTTATGTGGGTTTTATCTATAATCCATTAGAGGAGAGGCAGACAATTATTAAGTGAAAAAAAATCACTTCAAAAATTGTCATTTCCAAATATCACACATCAAATAGATGTAAAAAAAGCTTTAAAAGAGCTTCACTTGTTATATGTTATTGCAAAGTACAGTGTGACATACCTTCAGTGCTGGAGTCAAAATGAATAATGTCAAAATGTCAATGTTGCTTAAGCCAACGATGGAAAAGGTATGGAACTGATGAAGGTAATTGCAGGCTCCAAAGTTGCACTTTTCTATTACTACTCTCAACCACACTGTATTATGGAAAATAATGTTTATTATTATGAATAATGTGAATTTTATTTTTCCATGTTATTTTTATTACAAAATAATTTATAAATACTGGGAGCGTAACCTACTTTGCTAAAATATGTATGGATGTAAGTGGATGCTAGAGACTGCATAGATGTGGAAAGTATTTAACCAAGGGCTTTGTTAAATCCCCAAACAGCTCAATACACAGTATATACTGTATAGAATTCCCACAACAGTTGACTGCTCAAATGGACTGTTTCAGCGTTCCATTTTTGTAACACCCATTCTTCATAAATTCTGACATTATGTTCTTAATATGTTATCTCAATTAATAGACTGAATAATCTGAACAAAAAAAATCTAAAATATATAGCAAGAAGACATCACAAATTCCAAATGAAAACACAAAACAAAATCTTCTAGAATGCAGCAAAGTAGAAGGCTAGAGCTTCCATTTGTGTTTATCTTGATTGCAAAAAGCATTTCATAACTCTAATCAGTCATTCTCCTCAAGGCATACCTGGATTTCAAATAAAAGATTGCAAACTCCAAATGATTTACAGCAAGAACTATAGCTTCGGGGGCTTCAAAGATGTCCTTTCTGCATTTATCTCACATAATAAATGTGAAAAGCCTTTAAGGCTTGCATTTTTAAGGAATCTCATTAATAACTGCATGAAATAGGTCTTTTAAAGTATATTCTGTACAGTGTCCAAATTTTAAGGGTTCTACAAAAAGTTTAAATTTGATGATGTTAAGTTTTTATATGAAAATATTTCCATAAAAGGCACCTTTTTAAAATTCATTCTCACCCACCTCTTCAAGGATTAAAAGAACAAAGAAAAATTGAAGTATTACCTGGAGAGATATTTCCCTGAGGTTAAGTTTCTTCTCTCTAGATCCATGCAGTTTGTAGTGCTGGGGATCAAAGCAAGTTCTGGCTTTATGTAAGTAGCTGTTCCCACAGCTCTTGCTACCAGCTCTAAAGCATCTTGCACATAGTGGTCAAGAGCAGGCTCTGTAGTTTTGCCATGTGCCAGTAGACCCATTGGTAGTCCCTCAGTTCTGAGCTCTTCAACATTCTGTGTGTCCCCTAAAATCCAGTGATATTCTGGAAGTGCCAGCCCATATTTTGTAACAATATTAAAGATCCTCTTGATATCCCTGATATCGCATCCAAATGTAACCACTGTTGATGCTGACTCCTTGAGGGACTCCAGGTATCCCTGCAAAGAAGCCTGAACATCACTTTTCAAAGTGCCATTTGACGAGATATTGATTATAGATCCCATGTGAAATTTGGTATGGTTTTGCAATAAGAAAATAAAGTCAGAGATATTCCACTCTTTGCACAAAACCAAGCTGACATCATACCAGTTGTTCATGGAAAGAAGGGAAAACACTATATCTGCCTGGGGAACAGGAGGATTCTGCAAAGCCATCTGAAGATGAAGAGGATTCTAAGGGAAAAGAAAGATAAAAAAAATGAAACTAGTACTGTATATTCAGTAAGTACTTGTGTCATATTTCAATTAATCTGTTTGTGGTTAAAATAAAAGAGTGATAAAGATCAGACACCAAAACTGTCCTAAAATAAATTACCAGTCAGAGATGGGAATCTATAACTACCAAAACATATCCTGTATTATTTGCAAAAAGTCATAATGCACTATAATAAGAAAGGGAAGTCAGTATTTCACCTGAGGGATCTAAAGAAACATCTAGAAGACAGCCTTTGCCACATTGATTTAACAGTACATGAATGTATATCCTATAAATGGCAGTGGCATAAAATTGTTCAATGGTTTATGGAACAACAAATCTTTGAGAACAAACAAACTGTACCTGCTGATCAGTCCACAAACATTTAATGCTTGTAGATGTACAGAATTCTTGCTCGGGTTACAACAGAAAGTCATATAGTATAATGCTCCATATTTATTTACAGTGCATGTCGGAATGTGGATCTGAAACTCAAGGGCCCTATATGGGGCATTGCATAGGAATCAAAAGTTAAATCAAATAACATGCTTAAAATTAGATTAGATATCTCATTTTGCATGCATTGCAGGTGTTTACAATTGGAATAATATTGTGGATTTAGCAGTGATAACCAAACCAGTAATTCATTACAATCATCTACTCTTTTTCCTTAACTATTACTTCATTGAACTATTAATGAATACACTTTGTAATGTACTGTACATAAGCCTTATAGTTCCCTAGTAGAACAAGCCTTCATGAACATAAGAACATCAGAAAGCTTACAAATAGGAGGAGGCTATTTGGCCCATCTAATCTGCTTGGTTGTGTGCAGCTTACTGACATTTTTTACTTTTGATTACATAGAACTTAGAAAAGAATAAGAAGAAATCAAATACATAAAAGATCATTAAAAGTCAGAACGTATACTTGAGGAACTACATGCTAAACAGTAACCAAGCTGCATTAGTCACTATGTCTAGAAAAAAATTATAATAGCAAAAATGAGAGTTTTGATTCAAATGGATGTCATGGGGAATGAAAGAAGACTAAAATGAGTAACAAATACTGGATGTATGCATTAAACCTTTAATCAAACATACACCGTTTTCCCTTCTGTGAAAAAAGACATGTTCTACTTTAGCAATATTTTGAATCCTCCGGTCCTGCTGTCTCTGCTCTCCTAGTTAGAAATGAGGAACAGATGTACTGCTTTGGCTAAATACTGGTGCCTGCTGTCAAAAAATCTCAAGCTTTTTCAAAAATGGACAGTAGTGTAGGAGTAGACCATAAAAATCTGACTGATCACCATGATTGATCACCATGGTCTGAAGCAGAATATTTATGGTATAAGCTGAAAAAGTATATAACAAGTTCGCACCATCCTGTCCATAGGAGTTGGATTGGTTCTATGTAGAGGAGTGCAGAACTGACGTTTTTAAAATCTCATTGGTTGAGGTTGAGGACTTAACAACCTATAAAAAGTCAAATGCGAGTTTGGTTCTTGATAATTATTTGTGCTCTGCTTCCTTCTTGCCCTGTTAAACATGAAACTAATAACAATAATATATATATAATATAAGTGACCAGTCATTAAAGCCAAAGGATAATTAAACAAAATCTGTTTGCCTGATCTAATTATCTCAGTGAATGAATATATTTGAACATTGTGCATTTAAAAATCTAAAGTACATAGTTATTTTTGGTACACAATTTTTTTTTATATATATATATTATATTTTACAAGATTTCACTTTTTTGTAACTTGATTTTCGAGCTAAATAAAAATTTGGTTACAGTTCATTAAGAGTATTCCAAGAATTGTAGGTTATCATATTGATGTAGGTCTCCTTCTGAGTAGAAAAGCATAGCTCAAACAAAGCTAGTCCGATAATTAATATTTAATGGTGAACCTAAATAACTTGCTGCTTTCTCATAGAAGAAACAACATAATATTAATTACGCTAATCATTTCTTTGTTTCTGGGATCAAACAATCAGAGGAGATAAGGTTTCAGGGAGGTATTTTGTTTTTTATGTTATGGAACTACAAATTGTATACAGTATTTATGTGTACAACCATTGTTTTTGCATGTGATTTTGGACACAGAGTAACTGGCTTTCTTTATCTTTTTATACACTTATGCTATTTACAAGCACTCTGTTGCACATAATCCTAACTAAACAACACCACTGTGTTTCATTCAGCAGGTGTTTAAATACATAAATAAATATAAATTATGGGTACAGTATGGATAGTAATTAACTCTTTATCCAATCACAGCACTGCAATAGACAGAATTGTTTTCTTGTTCAACATTTTGAAACAGACTGTAACAGCAGGCTGCAGATGCTAAATTTATACTGCATAAAAGACAAGATCTTATGATAGCAACACTACTGTATGTGTATCATCAGTACAACTCCTTTTCCAGTCTAAATTTTACTTTGGAACACAATGGAGCCACAATTAATATTGTAAAATATGGGATTAGTTTCTGAGCTCTTTGAAGAAAAAAAAATTGTGGAGGGTTTGTCAGTAGTGCTTTTATAAATATGCCCAATATGACCATATTGCATTTCACCCATGTAGAAAAAGCTTTATTCTCTACAAAAAAAAAAGAATCAGATAAACGGAAATATAATGACAATCCATCTGGGTACAGCAATAAGATTACATCAGTGCAGACACGGGATCTCTGAAAGGATCTCCTTTATTGGCCCAGGTCTTGATATGAAGTAACGAGATTGTGGCCCAGAGGCTTACATTCTATGGATCTGCTAAAATATAACGTTCTCTGTAGGTGTAAATTAAATATTTTTGTACATATGACATATTAATTAACAAGGTATAGATTGACTATTGTATATCTTATTACTGCTATTTGTTCATCTGAAGCATAGTCTTTATTTTCAATTTTTTCTGTGTTATGTTTTTGTACCTTTTCTGTTTCACAGGCAACAGAAAAACAAAAGTTGTTGAACGATCTAAAAAATCAGAATCAGTACTGGTTCAAAACATGAGAATATATGAGACATTATTTTAATTAAATATTAAAAAAAATATTTATTTGGTTAATCTTTTTAGATTTTCAGTAGTATTCGTAAATCCATCTACAGTATTACAAAGATGCAGAAGTAGCGTTTATGGACTGACCAGAAGATGGCGCCATACACCTGTTCTTTTTTTACCCTCTGTTTTTCTTCCTGCATGGCAACTCTATTATAATCACAGTAGCTATTATGATAAAACATTGCTTCACCTCTAAGATTTAAAGAAATGTGACATACCTTAAGATTTAAGTTGCTTAATCAATTAGTTTTCTTCTTTGTAGCCCATAGAATTATTCTAAAGAATAAAACTTTAGTGGTCTTTCCTTCAGACTATTCGGATGCTTATTTACTAATTGCTTCCAATGAAGGAGGAGGGAACTAAGTGTTTTGCATACAGGGCATAGGTGTATTTTGACAATTCATTAATGAATGACCTGTGTCAAAGAATAACCTGATTAAAAATAAACTTTTCTTTAACAGTGCAATTAGCTAAAGAAAACATACATTCACTATGGCAAGAAATTGTCTGCATTTTTTTTGTTAATTTGGAAACATTAACTAAAAATAGTTTTAGTCACAGGGAAGTCATAGAACAGTCCTTTTATGCTACTTGCGATTTCCTGCATTTGATGTGCTGTCTGCCCATTATGCGTTTTTCATCTTGTGCATTGGATCACCTGAAAGCAAGATTTTCTTTAGCTAAGAAAAATGAAAAGCTTAAGAAAGACCATAATTTGATGTCAAAACTGGTAGCTGTGTCCTTAGTAAGGACCTTTACTATAGGTTTATTATTTATATAGATATTCTAATAAATGCTGAGCAGAAATATTTTAGAAATAAAAGGTCTTTGAACCTCAGAGGTAAAATAATGCAGGATCTCGGTAGAAGAGTGGTGTAGCATCTAGAACTGGATGAAAACACACAATTAATTATCAAAGAGTGGTTGTGAATATCCTGTAATACATGAATTATTCATTGCCATCTAAAGTGACTCCTGGGATAATTGTGTAAATCACAACAATAGCCAACTGTATGTACCCACAGTCACCTCAGAGTCTTCAATTAAGAGTGATTGGAAGTCTTAAACTGAGTTGTGACAAATAAGTATGAAGCAATAACTGCAACATGTTAAGATCTAATTCATTATTGAAAAGGGATGTGGAATGTGTGCAAGGATTCTATTTTTTTTCCTGTATTTGTACATGTTATGCAACATTTACATACAGGCACAAGCAATTGTTGGTGTTTTGCCTTTACATTTAATTTGAACTAGGCATATCATAGTTTCCTGTAAATAGTTTACCGAGATGGTTGATCACTTAAACCAAATAACAAAATAACATTATGTATCATATGTTTTAGGATGTTAATATGTAAAAAAATGTTTTAATGAATAGATTTTATTTTCTTGAAGAATAAGTATAATAAAGTGCTTTAGATAAAATGTAATGTAACGTATATCCTAGTTTATCATTTTTATACAGAATGTCTGTATACAGTTGCTTGGTTGTGTAAGTGTAAGCATTAAATGGTTGTTTGTGTGTTTTTCACTGATGGCCATAAAATGCAAAAATGATTGGCTCTTGTTATGATCTAGCATATATTAAAATAATATTTATAAACATAAATATATTTCCTATAATTCTAAATTGAATTTGTTATTAGTGTGAATGCCAAAAGTCATATAACAGCAACATACAGTATGAATGTATTATACAGTAATGGCATTAAATTAAGAAATATGTACAACAAAAATGCACCTGTTGATCACAAAGAAAAGCTAGAACTCAATTGTTGATAGTTCAAATAACAGAAAATATAGATTGCTAGTACATGGTGGCCATAAATTATTTCAGCCGGGGAAATAACAATGAGGGCGAACCTGAGTTTTAATCATTCGATGTGTGTGATTGCTGCTGCGGTGTATAAAAAAAAACACTGTTCCCTCGGAGACAGATGTCTGTGATGAGGGAAACCATCTTTCTGCATTACAAAGGAACCATAAACGTTCTACAAAATAAGAAAAGACGCCTTAAAACCAATTGAGAGTAAAAATGATGTATTCATTCGTATTACAGTTTATGCATCCAGGGAAGATAGACAATGATTCCAAATTATTGTCAGTATTACCATAGACAACGTACATACGTATAACAATATGCATTTTAAAATGTCTTAAATTTCTTATTTTTATTTGAGATTAAAGGTAATCAATAGAAACGCTGCTACTGTACTACACTAGGTTACACAGACCATTGTACCTACAAAGCATCAAAGAGCATTGGTGATTGGCAAGATACGCATTCAACATTAATTTTAAATGTATTAAACGAATATATTTTAGAACAATTATTTGCAGCTGAACATCACAAATTGTTCGCTAAGAAACAAGAAACTCGACTTCGCGGAAATGTTTTTTTTTTGTTTGCTTTCTTTAGTCGTGTTTCTGAAGGCTCCAACAGCAACTGCAGAGTCTATTGGATCGCTGTCCGTGGTGCTGAACTTGAGTACTTAACTACCGAGATGCATGGAATGACAAAATAACTGTACTAGGACACTGTTGTTGGGAAATGAGTTAACGTATGAAACAAACATTGTACAAACCTTTCCTTACCTCACTTTTTCTTGTATACATCCTTTTAACAATGCTGATTACGGGGATCTCTAGAGCGGATGATATAAATTCCAACTCCAAAAGCTCCCCCTTATTTTGTGGAAAGGCAAGCATAGCAGATACACCTTGAACTACGACAGTGTGACACACACTTTGCAGGAAAGACACCGGATCAGCACAAACTGAAGAAGACGGGGAAGAGAAAGAAAAAGCGGGTAACTCCCCAAGACCCGCTTCCACGGCCATCACCACCTCCAAAGACAAGTTATATGGTAAAAGACCCACCATTCGACTGAGTTTCTCAACCGCATTTAAAAGAGATTCTTTGGGTTCAAAAAAGCTGGTTTCACTGTCAACACTTTTAATCCCAAATCGACTTTTCGATCCCTTGTGCTGGTTGTTTACTGGGCTTTTAGTCTTCATGCTCTGTGACCCATACACGTTTTCACTTTTACAGTTCATTTCAAACTCTTTCTGCTTTGCGCTCAGCGTCCCCTCTTCAAGATGTCTTTCCCCGGTGTCGTCGTCCACCCCAATGTCGTTCAGGTTAAAGACACGGGGCCGAAGGTGCACGGCCCCGACCCGCACCGTGTGCCCAATACTCTTTAAAATCTGGCAGGGTTGTGGATGTGACAGAAATCCGGGAAACCAGAAGAACAGTAAGATGCCGGGAGCAAGTACAAGGAGCAGCCAAAACCTGCCGAACGCACCCCCAAAACATAACCCCCTCATTACTGTCAGCAACAAAAAAAATCCAGATTCACATGAAAAACGTAGGTTTCCTCTTTCCCCTCCACTCTCCGTGGCCCCTGCAGAGCAGCGTCGTGATCTTTTCTAAATATTTGAGATCCACTAAAGTTATGCACTTCTCTCTCCTCGGGGTGCACAATAACGGCAAAAAACATCTGGGAAATTAATCATTTTATATTTATCTCAAACTACCGTCTCTGCTTCCACGTTGGCTCAAAATACACGTTAAAAATAAAAATTCCCCAGGAATATGAGGTAGAAATTAAGCGCTGCAACGTGCATCCTTAAAATAAATAAAGTTCTGGCTTCCCTTTCAACGCAATATCCAGAGGCAAAGTGCAAAGAAGAGAAGCTTTATTATTTTTCATTACTGATCTTTTTTTTCTTTTTTGTATTATTCTGTAAATAGAAAGGCACGTACAACACCCAGGTAGATCCATTTCTGTTAACGTGGTGCTGATCTTGGTCCGCTACAAACGACGATTATATTTGCATTTCTATAAAAAAAATAAGCTTATGTATTGAAAAGAAAAACAAACAGCAAAAACGTGCTTTCCCTTCAGTCTGACATCAGGAAACTTCATACAGTCGCTTGGTTGCGCTCCACTCCCACTGAGAAGCGCGCGCTGAGGAAATCCCTGACGCTGCACTGAGAGGACCGCTATCTGTGTACCAGGGAGCTTGCCGTTAACCACATCATCGCCACATCGCCCTCGTTGTTACATTGCTTTTCCTTTGCACAGAATAACATCTACAGTATGGATGGAACGGGAAAATGACACCCCTCGTTATGTAAAAATGACACCGTGAAACACCGCACGAAACACACAAGGGTTAAATAACCAGACTATGCTCGCAATGTACAGTAGCTAACAGGAATTGGAAAGACGCATTAATAAAAATCAATTTAAATAATAAGATTAGAAAGTATTTTTAGCATTCCATCACAGCAAATACGCACACACCCACATACAAAAAAAAAACACCCCCCACGATTTGCGTAGCTGTAATTGCATTAAGTACAGTAGCTGACATCGGTAATCATAACAAAGCGAGAACTCGTATTTTTTTATTTTATTAGGTGGTTGCAAGACAATACAAAATGGCAAAACATTGAAGATTTTTTAAAAAACACTTCTAAGAGTTCTTAATTACCAAGGGTGACTTTTTACACTATACCATAGAAGCTCTGGTGTTCTGTTAAAATATGAAAACAAAAGTAACGACATATTCAGGTAGGGCTTAACATTTACTTGTGCAAAGACCTGCCCCTGAAGCAATTCCTAAAGATAAGACTAATGAGCATTTAGATGTAATATGTAGTAGATGTATAGAGATTCAGTAACACTGTTAAGATGTACAGTGAAAATAAAGATATAGATATAGATCAAGACCACATAAAATGGAAAGCATTAAAAAAACATTTATTAAAAAAATGTTAAAGCCTTAATCCTTACTCACATACCTGTAGCAAGTACCCAGGAAATAAAAAAACATATAACAACATGTGAAATATAACAAGAATTAAACATATACAGTGTCATTAATGAATTCAAGAGATGGTTTGCTCTGAAAAACACAAATAAATACTGTATGCGATGTCAATGAAAAACACAACAAAGAGAAGTATATTTAAAATTAATGCTAAAAAATAAACCATTAGTCATTTTGGCAGTATATTCAATTAAATAAAGTGGCGTAAATGCACCGGGGCAGAAAATTTGAAACATATCTTTGTTTTACTGTCAAGCAAATTGAATTTGTGATTATAAAATTAATAGAAATGAACCTGACTGAAATCAACCTGAACGATTTTAAAATATACTTCAAAGCACCATTTTATGATAATAGTTCCCTAATTGTTCTCTCACCTCTTTTTGCATCCCTAACTTTTCATTTGAAAAGACATGATCTACAGTATACAAGCATTTCCTTGTAGGTGCTTTGTCAAATTGGGTGAGAAATCTATCGTTAACAATGCCCCCCATTATACTTTCTGTTGCTGACATTCCTATAAGCTTTTCCCAGTCTGTGTTGTTACAGCTAAAGTCTCCTATAAAACTGACCTCTTCCTTAGCATATACATTCTTAATGTCCTTATATAGTTTTGAATTAATAGTTTTAAATTACCTATAGATTTTTTTCAGTTAGATTCAGGGATTCTTGATTCTGCTAACTTATGTAACTTATGTTTTTGGACCTGGATACTTTCTTGTGGTGAGCATAGAAAGCATACCTGAAGGTATCAAGATGCACCCCTGTGCCTTTAATTAAGTTGATTTTACAAATATTGTAGTGACATTACCTATCCTCCGGGAAATTCAGGTTATATTAGAAATTATTGACAAGATGAGGGTGATGGCTTGTATTCTTTATTATTTGACAGAGCCCTAGCCAGCACTGATGGAGATAGTGAGTATTTGCTGTCTTGGAGGGATGCTTTAGTGGTGAATGAGGTGGTTCCCTTACTGTAAGTAAAGTATAACAGGATCCTCTGGGATGTAAATCACTATACTGTATAAATCTTTATTTAAATTGTAATTATAGCCTGGTCATGAGTAGTAAAGTCCTCTATCACCTTGTTGAGCTGTCCTAGAGTCATGAGCAACCTTGGCCTTATATCATACCATTTGATATCAAGATAGACAATATCACTCTACAAGTGGTATCAATTCCTCTCGCACCGATGATTGTTTGACAAGCCTTCCCTCTGATGTAGCATTAGGAGAGGAAGTTTATTTTTTGTGTAATGTCAGTGAAATCACCAACAACATCCTGGGTGCAGGGTTGAAGATATCAAAACCCACAGTTTCCCATAAAACAACAGCATTTTAAAGCCTTCACTACAAGGTTAAAACCTCTGATCATAACCAAGAACAGAAAAAAATAGATTACAATTTGCTCAAAAGTACAAATATCAGCCAGGTGAGTTTTGTAACAAGGTTTGCACTCTTTTCACTGTCATGCTGTTTTAATTTTACAGTTCTCTTTCCCATGCTCCCAAATGGCTTCACACCATCTATTATCAGACAGATGTTCATTTTTGCTAAGAGTCTGGCTGTCTCATGCCCACCTGATACATACTGAAACATTGACACACAGAAGTACACTGTACTATACATTGATCTATTTTCCACACTGTGTTGGGTTCAATAGAAAGACCATATTTCCTAGTGTTATACTTCTGATATTATTTCCACCAGAGTCATCTGAATGATACTGTAAGTAGCACTGACTCTTACTTCATTTTAGGCTCTTGCTTAATCTACTCAAGTAGATTACTTTAACAATCTACTGTTCAGAAAGAAAGATTTCACAACTTTGTCTTCATTTTTCCTGTTGAAACATTTCCAAGCCACTGTTAAATTACCTCGATATTTCAAAAGCTTTTATTGACACTACAAAACACACTGGCTGTTTCAGTAAGACACTTGCAATTCTTGATATGCTCTGGTAATAGCCATTTTAATTTGGATTCTCTGGGCTATCACATGCAGAATGCTTCCTAGAATTGATTATCTGAATGTATGATCTTGTAGTTCTCTTCCAGATGTGTTAGTTGTTTGAGAAACGTTGTTAAATACATTTCAATAACCACTCCAGTTCAGGGTCACAATGACCTACAGCCTATCCCACTATGCATTTGGTGCAAGATAGGATATTGCAGGGTGCACAGAGGCCAACATACAGTACCAGTACCAGTTGGGCTGTGGGAGGAAACTGGAGCACCCAGAGGAAGCCCATGCAAACACAGAGGGATGCAAATCCCAAGTATCACTCCAGGAACATCACCCCAAGAATTGGACCCAAGACCATTGTGCCACCATGCCACCTCATTAAAGAAGTATCTTTCTTCAATTGAATTGTACATACTGTATATGAGTTCATTTTACTCTTAAAAATGTATCTATTTTGTGTCACAAAATCTTCTAAAAGGCTTGGAATAGCTATACCGTATAAATTCAATAATTTACAATGCTCCATTGTTTTGCCTAGACACTCATAAAAAAATCTGTCCTTTTTAAAATATCTTTTAAAAAATAAGAGATAGATCAGGCTTTGTTCTTTACATCTATTTAGTAAACCTCTTTCTCCTTCAGGTCTGAGTTTGCTAGAAATAAACTGGGAAACATCAAAACCTACTGATATTGTTAAAATCCAATTCAATTCACTAAACCTATTTCAGATTTCACTTGAATGTATTAGGATTGACTGTAAGTCAGTAAGTAAGTAAACCTTGCCATCATACTCACAGAATGTCCTTTCAAGTACCAGTCAGTTGTGTTTTGTAAGGATCTTTGCGATCTTTCATATCACGTGTTAGAGGTAGCTTGAAAGATCTTCTCCCTCTCATTTTACTTAAAATAAATGTAAAAAATTGTGATGAACAGGATTTTGTACATGATCTAACTGCAATAAACTAAATTCTCTAAGCCAATTGTCTGAAAAATGTAAAATCTTTACAATTGTTTTACCAATATTGTCAACAAGTTTATTCCAATTATAAGGTTTAGAGTTCAAAATCACAATTTCTCAGTTCAGCCCTGAGCTGTCAACTTTAATTAAGTAAAAGAATCTGACTTGGCAAACTGCTAGGGCTTCTTAGAATCACACTAATTGGCTTTCCTTCAAACAAAATTAGAAATAAATGCGCACAGGCCATTAGAAGCTCTAAAACGAGCTATTAGAAACATCAATTCTCAAACCTCTTAAACAATACTAGGAAATACTGAAGTCGATTAGATTTATAGAGAACATATCATTATCGTTCCAATTACCAGTTCCATTCACTTATGAAATACTGTTCTGACAGATAAAAACAAAAGGTTCCTGTATTAAATGAACATTTCAACATTAATGCTGGATATGTGTTTGATAGGTTGACACATAATAAAAATGTTGATTAGCTGATTTTGATGTGGTCAAGTTCTGGAGTCCCTTAATTTTTGCAAAATAGTTGATGAATCAGAATTACTAGTTTACAGTATGTGAGCTTACGATATGTGTCTTTTCAAAAGGTGTAATAAGCCAGACCCTAATTGCTGTAGACCCATATCAATTTTGCCTTGCCTTTCTAAAATCATCGAAAAAATACTAACAAGCAGCTTGACCCTTTCTCGACAGCAATTATTTTATCTAATATGGAGTCTATTTTTTGTTCTTTGCATGGATTTGTGATAGCAGCCTTAAAGCTTTTCAATTTAATAATAAAACTCACATTTTACAATAAAAATCACACGTGTCTATCATTCTATATATAGTGTAGGTGAATATTTTGATACTGTGCATCACAGTTATTTTGAAAAATCCTTCCACTGGTACCCTCTTTTCTGACCGCCCCATCATCTCATATCTCCGACCACTTAATCTGCGTAACCTACCTTCTTTTTCACAGCTCCCCAGACCGCCCACAGCAATCACCCACATTAGGAATAAGCCTTTAACTGTTCCTTTCACTAATCTGGTCTGCCACACTTTGTTTTACACTTTTCTCTAGGTGTATTCTGTACCAATTCAAATAACTGTATTATGTATCTTGGACTATGGTGATGTTATTTATAGAATGGTTTCTAAAGCAATCAGCCTTTAACATTAATATTTACTTCTGTTGTTGGAAGACTG